TGCTCAATGGGTGACATGTCCGGTGAGTATACTGGCCATGCAAGAACTGGGATGTTTTCAGCTTCCAGGAATTGTGTGCAGATCCTTGCAACATGGGGCCATGCATTATCATGCTGCAACATGAGGTGATGGTCGTGGATGAATGGCACAACAATGGGCCTCAGGATCTCGTCACGGTATCTCTGTGCATTCAAAATGCCATCAATAAAATGCACCTGTGTTCGTTGTCCATAACATACGCCTGCCCATGCCATAATCCCACCGCCACCATGGGCCACTCGATCCACAATGTTGACATCAGCAAACCGCTTACCCACACGACGCCATACACGCTGTCTGCCATCTGCCCTGTACAGTGAAAACCGGGATTCATCCGTAAAGAGAACACCTCTCCAAAGTGCCAGACGCCATCGAATGTGAGCATTTTCCCACTCAAGTCGGTTACGACGACGAACTGCAGTCAGGTCAAGACCCCGATGAGGACGACGAGCATGCAGATGAGCTTCCCTGAGATGGTTTCTGACAGTTTGTGCAGAAATTCTTTGGTTCTGCAAACCAATTGTTGCAGCAGCTGTCCGGGTGGCTGGTCTCAGACTTTTACTTTACTTTTAGTCATTTAGCAGACGCTTTTATCCAAAGCGACTTACAAATAAGAAAAAGTAATTAAAACTAAAACTCTATAAATACTATATATACACGCATTTAAGAAAATAAAAGAAATTAAATAAAAATTACAAATGCATACAACAATATTTCAAAACTAAAACATTTAAGTGAAAACTTATGTCCTTTGCCGGTGTCCCTGCCCGGTGGAGTCGCACGGTAGAGTCGATGGTCTTTACACTCTTCAGTCTTCACCCGACCGCAGCCACGACCGCTTCCGCGGTAAACTAAGCTTCTTTTTAATTCGTTTAACAAAATTATTATTGTTATTTTTTTCTGTTGGTTTAGCAATAATAAGACGAAGACAACCCTACAAAAAGGTATGTTTTCATTTTTTTTGGCTTTATGTAATGTGTTGCCTTACAAATAAAAACACATTTATTTGTATATTTTTTTTTCTTAGTGGGTTCCATGTGGCCGATGCCGGGCTTGCCAAAATACAGTGGACTGTGGAAAATGTGTTAGTTGCAGAAATGCTCGGCTACGCCTTCGACTCAATATCCACTCTCGTAAAGTCATTAAGTGTCGCAAACGGAAGTGTTTGCGCCCCATCCATAAAGAGAGGGCTGTAAAGGTAATTCTTTTTTTTTTTTCAGTCAGTAGATGATATTCTATGTAATGTAAGGACATTTGTGTAAGAATAAGAATATAGTTAAACTGTTGCATTATACTAAATAATAAGTGGCCTTGGAAAGTGTTTGGACCCTTGCCCACACTTGCAATGTCAAACCAAGCGCATTTAGGTTGTTTTTATGATCTGTTCTGTTTAATGGCTTTGTCAGGACCTCAGTTTTGTACTGCCCCCACTGGTGTCTTTTTATATTGTACTTTTGTTTCCACATGGCATTTGTGTTATGAATTAAATGCACAATGAAATCCACACATTTTCATGAATTACTTAATTGTTTAAAAGTTTGGGGTTGGTAGGTGTTTTTTTTGCAAGTCTTTTATGCTCCCCAAGACTACATTTATTTGATTGAAAATACAGTAAAAACAGTAATATTGTTAAATATGATTATAATTGAATAATTAAACAGTTTTCTACATTAATATATTTTAAGAAGCAATTTATTCCCGTAATGGCAAAGCTGAATTTTCAGCAGCCATTACACCTGCTGTTACATGTTCTTCAGAAATCATTTTAATATGCTGATTTGTTCCTCTGGTAATTATTATGTTGAAAACATTTTTGTGGAAGCAATGACACTTTTTTTTAGGATTCCTTGATAAATAAAAAGTTCGAAAGTACAGCATTTATTTGAAGTAGAAATCTATATAAATGTCTTCACTGAATAAAATGCTAATTTCTTAAAAAAAAAAAAGCAAAAAATCTTACAGCCCTCAAACTTCTGAACAGTAACTTTCTGAGTTACTCTTTGTGTCTAATGATCATATAATCTTTACTCACCTTTATCTAATCCACAGGCATCAGAGTGGCAGTTTCCAAACATGGCCAGATCACTAAGCACAGCTTCAAATTTTTCACAAGTGAGAATAAAATGCTTTGAACTACACTATTCTTTTCACACAGTGCTTCATTATGCTTGTAAAAAAAAGTTTTAATCATTCAGTCTCCCTCTTCTTTTCTTTTTCAGCCCTCAGTCTCAGATGATTTTGAGGAATCACAGGTAAAAGCTTTTAAATAATCTCTGACTAATCTGAGGGTTTCCTGTAGAACAACTATATCTAAATGTTGTTTCCCTGTAAGCAGAGCTCCTATCTGCAGTACAGTGACTCAGAGGATCTGTCTATGTTCTTTGGGGGTAATGATGGTGACAATGGCCTGGATGAGGTATTTCTAGCTAGCCAGTTAAATACACTGCAGTAACATGATCCAAGTGCCTTGATCACAGATATGCACATTGCTTGTAGAGATTCACAAAGTATTTGTTCTCTTCTTAGTTGGGATATATTGCATTTTTTTAGAAATTAGCTTGAGGCAAATTTGCTTCATGCTTAAGCTGCAAATATTTAATACAGTCAGATGTAATCAGAGACTTAAAATAGTGTCCTGAATATTCTTTAAATAGTGATTTGTTTTTTCTTGATTTGTAGATGGGTGTACCAAAAGTACGTCGCCGTTCCTGTGGGAAGTGTAAAGGCTGCGTTCGCCGTACAGACTGCGGAAGCTGTGATTTTTGCATGGACAAACCCAAGTTTGGAGGCAGAAATAAGAAAAGACAGAAATGCCGTCTACGACAGTGTCAAAGAGAGGCGATGGTGGGCTTCCATAATATCATTTTAATTGTATTATTTGCATTGACTTTTGAGAATGTTGTTTTATGGTGCATTATTTTGAAACCTTTAGTTGTCCACTAAATCTAGGATTATTTTCTGTTCTTTTTTTTGGTTCATATAATAATATTTGTTTTTATGTAATATATTATATAACATGTTGAACTGTTTATTGAGAGTGAATTTTGACTATTTAGTGAGTTTAACTCATTGTGAATGAATGACTCTAAGCTTGTTCTTTTTAAATAATCTATCAATAAACAAACTGAACCTAGTACTGTTGTGTATTTTAGTCATGTGTATGACAAAGTGCAGTTTAGTGGAATCAGAACAGTTAAATCCCTAACGATTCATCCATATTATTACATGTCTGTTGTAGGTTCAATAATTGTGCAAAAAAATCTTGTCTCGATGTTTGTTTAACAGAAGCATTTGCTGCCTATGGATGAAGCGGAGATGCTCTTTTCTCAGGGCTGGGTTACACACGGCAGGCCACGGTACACATATGGACGTAGTAGACCCAGGTCCAAAAAGTTGTGGCATTTTGAGGTTTCAGATAACGAGGCTGAATCGTATGTGCCAAAGGCGCATACCTCAGGTGTTGCCCAGGTGCTGAATCGGAACAGGCTCCTTCATTCCAGTTACAATAGAAAGGTATTCCAGAATCTATAAAACATTTCCACTGTTCCTGTTTGCTCTCAATAACTTTTTCTTCTTGGTTTTCTTCTTGTTGATTTAGGCTTATGTTTATACTGATGTTGCTAACAGTCATTTGATGAACAACATCCCACTCTACAATCCACAGAAATTTGAGGTATGTTTTCACCATGAAAATTAATATAATACCCATATAATGTTAATCAAGTCATAATGATTCCTTAAATTAATTCCAGAGCAGTTTTCCCTGGACATAAATAAGCTTATTTGGTTTGTTGCATTTTCGTATTATTTGAACAGACCTATATAAATATGTTCATATCTCATTTCTGTCATCCCTATCTCTTGAGAAGATGAGCCCCCAGCTGCGCATAGGACGGGCGGAGATGATCAGAGAAAATGGGCTTCAAGTCAGTGGTATCAGTAGCAGAGCCCTTCTGTCTGTGGTAAGCTGCTTATGCCTGTCTGTTTTCAGCTTAAACAAATAAAAACAAAGATTAGCAAGTGGGAAATAAACCGTAAGCCAGTAAGGTTATCTGAGGTGCTGTCTTTCCTTAGGTTGGGTGGTGAAAGTAAAATAAATTCAAGATTGTAGTTGTACCAATCAGTGTTTGATCTAACCAGTGTTCATGCATAGCTGTACGCTTCTGATATTATTCCCACGCAGAGAGGAAAAAATGAGGTGCAGAAGGCAGACTTAAAGTGGCGACTTCAAAGCTGATTGAGAAGGCAGAGTTTCAGTAATTACATTGATTTTTGGTTGTCTTGACAATTAAGTCCTGTTTGCTTTCACATTATCTTGAGAAAAAAGTCTAAAAATAACAGTAATGCATGGCCTTTTAGATAATGTTTTAAATTAAATATTTGTAACATCTGTTAAAAAAAATGCTTTTTAAAGAAATTAATACTTTCATTCATCAAGGATGCAATAAATTGATCAAAAGTGACAGTAAATACATTTATAATGTTGCAAACGATTTCTATTTTAAACAAATGCCATTCTTTTGAACTTTCTGGTCAAAGATACAAAACTTTTGTAACAATTTCCACAAACATATTAGGCAGCACAACTGTTTTTAACATTAATAATAATAAGAATGCTGACTTGAGAACCAAATCAGAATGATTTCTGAAGGATCATGTAACACAAGACATGTTGAAAATTCAGCTTCGCCATCATAGGCATTATTTTTCAAAGTTATTTTAAATTGTACATTTTAAAGTTACGAGATTTGAGTAATGATTTTAACTGTATATATCATTTATATACATATTTTACTATATACTATATATTTATTTCCACTTCCCATTTATTTAGAGACCAGAGTTTCTTCCTATGGCCATTCCACCAAACTGCCCTGGAGAGAGTTTGAGGGAAGGGAATCGATCACATGGATCGGCAGGTCAGGAACCATGTCAAGAGGAGCAGCAGGAGGACGAGTCTTGTCCGTCGGTAAGAAGCCGTTTTAGGCATACGGTGTGTAATACGGAAGTCGTGGGAGTAGCAATTATTATGTACTTCTGGCTTCTGCAGATTACTCAGATATTCAGCATGGCAGACAATGACCCCACCATCCAAGGCATCGACATCAATCATGAACTGATGCCTCTCCTGAGATCTCTTCGAAGCATGGTACTTCCTGTCCTCTGGTTCTGTGTTGTGGTGGAAGGCCCTCAGTTACAGCTGATGCAGTGCTCCAAGCGCTCCACTATGGCAGACACCATTATTCATATTGAGCCCAACTTCCACTACCACATCAGCGTCCAGGGACAGCCGCTCCTGCCCACCCACAGACTCTACGACAGCCACCCGTCTCGTCTCACCACTACAAAAGAGATTGTTGCCTTCCTCGAGGACCTAGAAAGGTACGCGGTCTGCCAGGGCTTAGGGCATAAAAAATCCACGACTGGGTCAGAGCCTGTGGTTCCTGAACGGGCAGCTACCTGTGACTTCCTCGTTTTTTCAGAAACGGAACGCTGTGAAAACTGCATAACTCAACAAAAAGTATAGAGAGACTATTCAGCACATGGGAATTGGTCTTCAAGTAATACATCTTCTATTTTCTAATTTTGAACTATTCTAGAATATCTTTCGACTATATAAATATTAGAGCACTTTTTTTTTTTTTTTTTTTTTTTTTTTTTTTTTTTATTTATATAGAAGGGTGCCAGCATTACATTGACTGATGAATCAGTTTTTGGTTACTTTAATCCACAAAAAGGACTAATATCACTTCCCACATTAACAGGATAGTTTGCCCAAAAATAAAAATTATGTCATCATTTACTTTGGGTCCGGTTTCAATAAGGAGGTTCAACCAGCTGAAACAACTGAAAACGTTCCAACTTGAACTCTTGTGTTGACTTACACTGAGATGGAGTTCAATCGACTATGAAAAGCCGTGATCAATGGAGCTCCGGGGAAATTATGACTCACCATGGCAACAGCTCCCACCAAAAAGACGTCTGCATACTTCCGATTCAATACATCACTTTAATTCTTAATCACTGTTATAATATCAAAGGTAAAAAGTGGCAGAACAGTAAATTATTTAAGTAATATTAATTTCCATCCTACAGGCAAAAGAAAAAAAGCGGCTAAAATGAAGTATAAAAACATAATTCAATCAAGGTAAAGCTTTAAGCATAAAAGGTTCATGAGTGTAGGCTATATGACTTTACAAGCATTTGACGTATTAAATAAATATCATTCAGGGTCTATTTCAGTGCGCTGCAGCTTTTCCCACATACTTTAATGCTCTTTTCACATAATTAAATGTTCTCTAATCCAAACTGTTGCATTTCTTAATTAGAATAAATTAAATTAACCTCTGACTTCTACTCCGCCAACAGCAAGAATGCACGCAAAAATAATGAAGTACTGCAATACCAAGTATTGGAAGAATATTAAAATACAACAGGAAAAAGAATAACTGTTGCTTTTCTATTTGTAGGAAATAAAGATGACCAAATAAATTTAACAACTGTGGTGGTGGTTACGGCAGATACCTTCCATCTGGCATCCTTCCATTCCATAGAGTAATCAGCTTTATTTTCGATGGGTTTGTGCTCAAAAAACTACACAAATATTATAAGAGAGAGCGAGAGAGCGAGACACACTTTCCTCAACACTGTGCATAGCCTTACTGATGTGCTTTGCATCCCTGATGTTACATAGAAAATTACCGTTTAAAAATGGTACCGCTCAAAAAAATATGCATGTGGATATGGCAACAACAAAAAACAAAAATCAAAATCCTCTCCCGATGTAAATGTAACTCCCTACGAATTAATGTAGCCTCCTCATCTACAGGATTCAGTATAGGACATACCGTTTTTGTCACTTTCACAGTGTCTGCATGATGAAAATGTGTAATGAATGAATGTACCAGCACTGCAAAAAATGCTTTTCTTACTTAGTATTTTTGTACTAAGTACAAAACGGGTTTGACAAATCTCCCATTCTGAAACGCAAAACCCAGAGTTTCCCACATTTCAGGGTTAACATTCTCAGTTTTCACTTAACCTCCTTTCTGAAACGGGCGCCTGGTGATGTTTAAATGTTGTATACCCTTCTTTCTTTTATGGATAACAAACAAAAAGCACCAGGGTGAGTAAATGATGACTTAATGTTCATTTTTGAGAAAACTATCCTTTTAATGAGTGACCACTAACCATGTAGATGTATTTTTGTTTTTTGTTTTTTACCCTAGAATATGTGACACGTTTTGGTACCTACTCTGGCTAAGGATGCTCATTGAATCCTGGTCATATAAGTGGAGGTAGTGAATGGGCATGTTTTACACAGTCAAACATTGATCAGTTTAACTGTACATCTTGCCTTGCACTAAAGTTATAATAGTGCTTCAAATCCATTTTGGTTTAATTCCTCACACCAATGATATCTGTACATGTGTTAATGCTTATGTACTTCTCAGGGGGGATTTTTCAGAATGCATTGATCAGGTGGAAGATTCATGTTTGTTAAAGATTTAATATTTGCTGTATGATATGGGATGAGGCTGCTTTCATTTTGGATAGTCAATTTTGTACATAGTGCAAGTGGTGGCAGAGAAATTAGATAAAATATAGCGAGAAAGGTTTTTTTATAAATATGTCTTTTGCTTTCCAGAATTTGTTTCCTCGGTTACAAAACACTTTGAATTTTGTTTGTATGTGCTTTCATATAAATAATCTGTTTTGTTTCTGTTTATTTAATAAATCGCATTATCCGTTGGATGACTGCCATTATGTGCTCAAGGCAATTGATATCACCATACTTTGCCAGTTAATTAATCACAGTACATTAAATTTTATATTACAAGTTTCCTCAAATGTGTTTTATTGGTATATATGAGTTAAAGATTTAACAGGGGTGATTCTGGATATCTCTTTGTCAATGTTGTCAACGGTAAGGAAAAAAAAACATTTAAAAAAATTTTTTAGGAATAAAATATGACATCAATTAGTGCAAATATGTCAACAAACTATGTAAAAAAATTTTTTTTTGAATAAATTGGAAAAAAGGAATGTTTAGTGAAAGTGCTACTCAAGTGGAGTGGCTTAAGTATGTATTTGGATGTTTTCTTTCCACTAGTTTGATAGATGATGTGTAATGGAAGCAAAATAGCCCAAAACTGTTTTTGTTTGTAGTGTCTTGTCTTGATTCATTCAGTAACTTAATTTAAATACCGGACTTTAAAAGCATCACTGCTGTCGGATTAAAAAAACAAAACAAACGCTTTAGCATACAGTTGCTGCAGCATCCACATGTAAATGTTCTCCTGCGGTATCATGGATCAATTATGCAATACACACATGCACCAAAGGGGGCGCCATAGCACAGTATAATTGCACTTCTGCATTCAGTTCGTGCAAAGTTGAATCTAAAATTAAAATTGTTTTATGTTGTTATTCAGATACAATAAAATATATATAAAAAAATAGATAATCAGTTTATCTAAACAGTTCATTATTTGCTCATGAAAGGTTCATTTGTTCACTAGACAACCTGCTTTTTTTTCGTTGCAAACAGACTAACATCCTTGAAAGCAACGCAAACCTCAGTTTCGGCATGGTGTGTGTAGTTTGTCAGCTGGGTCTATATAAATAGGCGCGACTGAAAGAGTTAATCAGACAAGTGGATGCGTATTGCTCTTCCCTGTTTGCCAGTCTTGTTCCAGAGGTGTGACAGCGCTTTACAGTGCTTAACTGGGATGAATGCTGAAATGTGAGGGAAGATGTTATAATATCATCGTGCTGGCGCGATGCAGGGACCCTGTACGCGTTTTGCATGAAGGGGAGGATGTGATCTGCAAGATGTGACTGAGGAGAGCCGCAGATGAATATTAATTGGCATCGCAGGTCCGTGTGCATTTCTCATATCTTCTCTTAAATGTCGCATTTTCTTAAACAGCAGACAACCTTTAATGGGAGTAATATATAAAATATGAACCGCACTAGATTTATATATGGGTTGGATATGGTGGACACGTATGCTCCCTAAAATGCAGGGACGCATGGGGGAAAATCTTTCTGCTATCCTGTTAGATTTCTATGACATTTTTGGTGTTGGGCTGAATGTTTTTAAATGAAAATATACTGTCATTGTAAACCAGCGTTTACATGTTCTTATCCGCGTCTCATTCATCCAGCATGTAGTTCTTGCTGATGAAAGCGTCGCGCGTGGCTTTCACTGGGATTTCTCTTGGCGTGTTGCTACGCAATGGATTAATGATGCAAAACAGTCACACCTGTTATTTGTCTGCTTGAATTGATTAACAGTAAATGTGTCGTGTGTAAATGCATGCGTTTTCTCGAATAAGCCACTCTGATCACTAATGCGATACTACGTATCCTGGCGTGCGTCTCAGTTTGATTCAGTTCAGTGATTCGAATCTTTTGAATCAGTTACTTAAAACATTCATTCAGTGACCCTTTCCACAGGTTACATCGCCAGTAGGTGGCCACAAGTCTGAATTCGGAATAGCGTTGTTTTACTATTTCTTACTATTTCATCATTTCATAACGATATGATGTATGCTAGCTATTACGAATTCATTTTGTGTGTCTTGAGCGAGTCACTTAATCGATTCTTTAGAAATACCGAATCGTTCACCATCGTCGTCTTATCCTCAAATATTGTGTCTATAAATCTACTAACAGACAACAGAAAGAGTGCTTGAGCATCCTATTTTTCCCACAAACAATTAACTGTAATAACTTTATATTCCGTTGACAACTTCATGATTTTTATCCAGCTACAAAGCATAAATAGATCCATTTCATTACCACCCTTGCATCATTTTAATTGCATATTGTAATTTGCAGGGCCATAACAATATTTTATGTACTTCTTAAACGAATACGATGATTACACGTGCAAAAAGTACCATGGTATTACCATGCACCACTATCATAGCTTTTTTTGTATTTTTATTTTAAAGTTTTTGTACATTTGTTGTTTTTTGTCATTTTTATTACTTTTTTTTTATTTTTCATATTTGAACCCTGATGGGAGCAAGCCAAGAGAGTTTTTTTTAGAGATATTAATTTTTTTAGGGCTGCAAAATGATTAATCGCATTCAACATAGAAGTTTGTTTACATACTTGTGTGTGTGTACTGTGTATATTTATTATGTATATAAAAATACACACACATACATGTGTATATATTAAGGGAAAATGTTAGATTTATATATAAAATATTTATATTTATATCTAATATAAATTATATACAAGTATATACATACACTTTTTAAAAATATATATATACATGATAAATATACACATTTCACACACATATAGTATGTAAACATAAACGTTTATTTTGAATGCGATTAATCGTTTTGCAGCCCCACTTTATTTCAATTAGCAAAACTCATTTTAATAGTTTGTTGCAGGAACGATACTGACCTGCAGACATACAGCACAAATTTGACAAAGCTTGGTGTGGCATTTATATCATGTGGTTTGTTTCATCCAGCCTACATCATAATGCTTAATTTGAATGACAATCAGCAAATTTGCCCATTCATTTAAATTATTTACATTGTGCCTATCATGGCACATAATGAACTGCACTTCTATAATTGAAGCTCTTTCAATCACGTCCCACTGTGTTCA